GCGCCCCAATCCCCTGATCAGCCCTGCTCTGTGCCTGACAGGGGGGAGCTCCCCAACCCCCTGATGGCCCTGCAGCTCTGTGTGTGACAGGGTGCGGCGCCCCAACCCCGATTGGCCCTGCGGTGTGTGACAGGGTGGTGCCCCAACTCCCCTATCGGCCTTACTCTGTGAATGACAGGGGGGAGCTCCCCAACCCCCTGATGGGCCCTGCTCTGTGGGTGACAGGGGGGAGCAATATGCACATTGACTGAATGGCAGAATAACCGGTTGCTATGATGTGCACTGGCCACCAGGGGGCAGATGCTCAATGCAGGAGCTGCCCCTAGTGGTCAGTGCACTTCCATATGGGGAGTGCCACTCAGCCAGAAGCTGGCTCATGACTGGCCAGCACAGTGGTGGTAGCAGGAACCTCTCACACCTCCATGGCAGCACTAAGATTAGTCCAACTAACAGTTTAGACCCGATCCCTTGGGGGCCTAAGCCTTTAGTCGGATATCCCCAAGGGTTTCCTGGCTGCCAGAAGGATGTCTGACTGTAAGCTTAGGCCTGATCCCTGGGGGAGTGGGCCTAAGTTGACAGGTGGACATCCCCGAAGGGGTCCTGGACTGTGAATGGGTGCAGGGCGGGCTGAGGGACCCTCCGCCGAGTGCACAAATTTTTGTGCACCAGGCCTCTAGTCTATATAATAAAAGCCTAAGCGATGGTTACGGGTGAATGACCAGAACAACTGGTCACTATGATGCACACTGACCACCAAGGGGCAGCCACTCAATGCAGGAGCTGCCCCCTGGTGGTCAGTGCTCTCCCACAGGGGGAGCACTGCTCTGCCAGAAGAGGGGCTCACAGCTGGCAAGCACAGTGGCAGTGACAGGAGCCTCTCCGGCCCCCACAACAGCACTAAGGAGAAGCAAGCCAAACAGTAAGGAGCAAGCAGGTAGGCGGTAAGGAGCAAGGGATCCCGGACTGTGAGAGGAATGTTCGAAGGGTCCCAGACTGCAAGAGGGCACAGGCCGGGCTGAGGGACAGCCGCCCCTCGCCCCCGCCCCTGTGCACAAATTTCGTGCACCAGGTCTCTAGTATATACATAAAAGAACAAAATGTGTAAGATCTAAAAGTCTCAGCAATATGCCAAGGTTGTTGAGAAGTTGTAGCCATTTAGCCAGGCTAATTCTGTATTCATATAACTACAATGGACACTGGTGTCACAAGTTAAAAAAAAGTCAATAGCCTCACATTTTATTTTCTTCCATTAATAAAAGGATGACTTTTTTAGTATGCTTGCAATTTTGAATTTCACAAAATGGTGGAAATAAAGCACTGATACAGATAAATGCCTTCCAAATAAAAAGCTCACAGCAACAAATATAAGAAGGCATTTATCTGCCACTCATGCAAGAAAAACATCGCACATCTAAAGGAAGGTAAAGGAGAAAAGGGAAGAATGATTTTGCACACGGTGGATTCTCCAGTATCAATTACCAAACCAGCATGGAGGCCAAACAGCAACAGGCGGTGACCCCATCCAGGGCGCTGCTTAAAGTGCCTCCTCTGATAAATTCTTGCCTTGATGAAAATTTCAAGTCTTCAAAGTAGCAAAAGGAAGGGTTAGCTGAAGTTTAACTGAAACCACTGAGGAAGACTAGCTGGTGACCTGAAACTGCTTCTCAGGGTACTGAGAGAATCTATAAATCAGCATTGTTGGTAAATTCCAGAGAACAGCAAATGGAAGAGGCAGTACATGGCCAAGCCTAAGGAAATAGCTGTTATATAAGATTTAGTATGTGATAGTCTTTTTATGTAAAAAATTAATGACCTTTTTGTCCTTCACTTCTAAAGGCAATCTCTTCCTCTCTTTTATTTGTATTTTTCTTCCTTAATTTCCAGGTAACTGATTAAATGAAGAGTGATGTGGTGTGCTACAATAGTCTCTGCTATTCTGAGTTTCACTTCATCTATAAACTTAGTCACATGCAATGGCATACAACAGTGGTTCTCAACTGACCATCCTCCATCGCCTCCTTGTCACAGGGGGATTTGACAATGCCTGGAGACATATGTGGTTGCTACAACTGTTGGAGGAGAGGAGATATACGACTAGCATAGAGCTGGCTAGGCCAGGGATGCTAAGCATCCTACAACGTACAGGACAGTCCTCTACAACAAAATGTTATCTGGTCTCAAAGGCCCATAGTGCCAAGGCTGAAAAGCCTGGCTATATAGGTATCCTTTACTAGCGGAACTTAAATATTCACACATTTTCTTGACATACATATATGAGTTCTTGCTACTCACTACCTGAAATTTAGCAAGCAAGCAAATTCAAATGAGATATCCAAACTCTTACTATCAGAGCTCAAAACCAAACATCCGCATAACAAAGGACACTGTACTTAGAAAATTTGTGGGTAATATAAAATCTGTGGAAAAATCACAAAAACTATCACAGTCACTGAAAAAGTACTTCATTTGCAAATACTCACAGATAATCTTATAAAAAAAAAAGAAAAACACCAGAAGTTACTGGCTTTTTAAATTTGGTACAATGGGTCATTAAATACTTTATATACAAGAAATTCACATATTAAACTTCACTGACAGATGATCGCCATTTCCTTAGACTCAGCCAGTACATCTTTGTGGCTGTTAAATTTCCCACCACATCACTTTGTACCAACAGGGAATCAGCTTCCTCCTCCCGCCCTGCCTCCCTCTTAAAA